TGGGCATAATTTGGGGTAGGAAATGAAATAGGAAGTGAACATTCAGTATGTCTGGAATGGTCTTGGAGTCAATTTAATTAATGTAGTATTCTAACTCATTTCAGAACCACTAGGGTAAATTTAACAGTACTCATTATGACAAAGAACGAGGGTATGATTATTGGAATGGATCCCTCATAGAGGTCCTAACAGACTAAGGATCTCCCCCCTTGAGAGGGAGAGTGACTCCTCTGGTTCACCATCATGTAATAATTAAGCCAAAGAAGTTAAGAGATCAAAAAGTTTGGAAATGTTAGGAGGAATGAGTGTGTTATTTCAAACCTCCCTTGAAATCAGACCCTGTCTACATCTTTCTTCCATTTGAAATGCTTGTATAACATCAAATAGCTTGTATATAATTAGTAAATAGAGGAATGATGTCAAAGTGATACAGAAGTTTGGTTAATAAATATGTGCTTTTTCCTAAACAAAGGAAGCCAAAAGAGAAGTAGTAGAATTCTATCATTTATCAGGAAAGAAAAAAAAATCGTCTGAGCTTGGCTGATGTACTTACCACCCCAGAAAGGTGCATCCTTGGCCTTATATAACTCTCTCATTGTGGGAATTTCATTTCCTCCTGGGCCTTCCTTAAAGGAAGCCCCACTGGCCCAAATCTCCACTTCACTTTCATCTGCATTGTCTCACACTCTATTGTTTTTGTACAGCTTTAATATCTTCTAAAGCAGCACTCCAAGATGCCTACCCAGGCTGTTTACATTATCTCCTAAGGTAATCATTATTATTTTAGATAGTATTGTGGTTTTAAAGGTAAATAGACTTTTCAATGGTTTTCCCAAACCCTAGTTTCCCCATATCGCTGTTATTTTGGTGGGTGTGATTTTGCAGAATGTATTTTTCATGCATATATATATAATTGGCCCTCCATCTCATTGGGTTCCACATCCCTGGATTCAACCAAGTATGAGTGAAAAATATTTTTTAAAAAAATAATAATACAGAAATAAAAATAATACAAGTTTAAAAATAATACAGTGTAACAACTATTTATATAACATTTACACAGTATTAGGTATTATAAGTAAGTTAGAGATTAAAGTATACAAGATGATGTGCATAGGCTATATGCAAATACTACACCATTTTATATAACGGATTTGAGCAACTGTGGATGTTAGTATGGGAGAGGCCTCCAGTAACCAATCCCCCACGGACACCAAGGAATAACTGTATATGTACCAGCATGTTGACCATCTGCAGGAATATGGTATCTGTACCCAGTAGGTATACTCCTTTATATTGTAGAAAGGATAGATCTATACAGGAACCATAATAAAATAACTTTTTCACATGTAACAATAAAAATTTCTTTATTAAAATCTTCTGTGGTAGAGGTTGAGTTGAGTAATGACTTCTTCCATGTGGCCAACCTCACATAAATTCAACTCTGTCTTTACTGGAGGGGAAAAAAAAAAAAAGCCAGGATGGTGGATCATGCCTGTAATACCAGCACTTTGGGAGGCCAAGGTAGGAGGATTGCTTGAACCCAGAAGTTCAAGACCAGCCTGAGCAACAGAGGGAGAGTCCATCTCTACAAATTTGTTTTTTAAAAAGTAGGCACAGTGGCCTGCACCTGTAATACCAGCTACTGGGGAGGCTGAGGTGGGAGGATTGCTTGAGCTTGGGAGTTCAAGGCTGCAATGAGCTGTGGTTGCACCACTGCACTCCAGCCTAGGCAACAGAGCAAGACACAGTCTCAGGGAAAAAAAAAATTGTCTATGGTTTAGAATAAAATCTAAAAACAAGCAATTTGCCAATCCTGTTTGTCTTTTCCAAGGTTTACTTGACAAAGTAAAAGTAGTTTAATATTATATCAAATGTGCTTATTTATCACAGCATAGAAGGAAAACTTGAAAGTATATCTAATTCCAAAAAAGAAGCAATAAGTAGGAGAAAATTTTTATTTTCTGTATCTGTTGCTTTTAGTCCTTGGTACAATTACAGTTCTAATCTGTGCTTATAAATAAAAAGTAATTGCTATGATCTTAATGTTAGACATTATTAAAAGATTTTTTCTGATCTGATACAAAGCAAGAAAAAAAAAGAGATATACATCAAATCAAGAGTATCAGCATTTATTTGTTTAAATTAAAAGGTAACTTTCACATAAAACTTGACCTTTCCTAAGTTGAAGTCCAGAAGACCATCAAACACAAAAGTTTAGGGACCTCAATCATTTGATGCACAACATCATAGAAACAAAGAAAACAGAAGTTCAAAAACCTAATGTTAAGTGACTAGGGTGCTACAGACTGGAAGTTCCTCCAACAGGATTAGCTTCTTTAAATATTTTAAGTCCAGTGAACTTGTAATGCTTCCACATGTTAGTGGTTGCACAGGCTAATTTCACCTGGCATAAGCTTTTACAAGGATGCAAAAACAGAGGGCAAGGCATGCATTAAAATGTGATAATAGCACACTTCTGGGATATGTGAAGCATGAGGCATGAATCTGAATGCCTCTGGCATCCATGAAGTATCACATCTCAGAGTCAGTGCTTTTCTGTTTTGATAAGTAATGCTGCTAATACCATATTTGGGAGGAGAAAAATAAACTTTCTAAATATAAATCTCATCTTAATGAAGATTCCTTAGTTTCAATTCTAGCATTTTATTCAAATCTGATGTTTTAATTCCAGGTGAACTGGAAATAATTCAAGTCTAGATAGGGTATTAAGAAAATATGTTGTTTATTTTTATTAATGCTAGTTTAAGAGTAATTTCAAAATATTGTTGATCATAAAGAAAATCTTAGCAAGAGGAATGGAGGAGGAGACAAAAATGCAAGAAAGAAACAAACCAACTTTAATAATGACACTCTTATTAACCCCAAAGAACAAAAGGAAGGATTCTTTGTGTTACATGTTTTGCAGATAAATAACCTTACCTAATCCTTCTAGATAACGGGTAGGTATCTATAGGAGATTTGAAATCTTCAGATAAAAACATGTAATAAAATGAAAAATAGTTATGATATCTAATAAAAACATTTTTTAAAAGGCCAAGAAAAACAAATTTACTTTCTGAATACACACATATGTAATCCTTGGCCAAAAAATTTGACTTAGAAACAATAAGTATCAAAATATCATAGTTATCATTCAGTAAGTATTAATGAAGGATGATAAATTAAGGAAACAGTCTGCTTTTATATAGTACAAGTGAGAAAATGGGAAACAAATGGAAGTATCTGCTGTAGCCACATCCCAAAATCACTTCAGTTGTTTGAATTACTACCCTCGCAGTTAAAGGCATGTTATTTAATATCCTGCCCTCATCAAGCATGGAGTTAAAGTTTGAATGAAATTATAGGACCATTTCAATAACACGTTTAAACTCATGAATGTGAAATTTAAACTCACAAATGAGGCTAGCAAAACAAAACAGTACCTTTAGAGATATTAGATGGACATCTAATCTCTTTGGACAAAGACAATGAAATTACTTTAAAGTACAATTCATAACTTTTTTTTCTTGCCTGAAGATGAGTTACTATAAGATAGTATAACAGCGAAACCAACTAAAGGTCCAAGAGTAGACAGTTTAATTCATTCATGCCACATTTATGAGTGTCAGCTATGTCCCAGGCACTGTGCTTATTACTAGTATTACAACAAAGATAGTGTCTGTTCTTGCCCTCTTTTACATTACATTGTGGTAGAAACAGATCATGTGGGACAGTGACATAAGACTCATTCAAAAATCCAAGTACTATTTATTGAGTGCCTTTTCCCAGGAAGTCTGTAGTCTGGTAGGAAGGGTGCATATACACAAAAAAGTAACAAAGCAATACAATAATTACATCCTGTATGGAAAGTACTAGGAAAACAAATGGAGTTCTGACATAGACGAGACACTAAAGTGGAAAGAGAGAGGGAGGCAGAAAGAGAGAGAGAGAACAGAGTACAATGGTTAAAAGCGCTGCTACTGGAGCCAGCCTGCCAAGGTTTGCGTCCCAACTCCACCACTTGCTAGTTGTGTGATGTTGAGCAAATTACCTAAGTTCTCTGTACCTCAGTTACTGCAATAAATAGGAATTATAGTTTCTCTGAGAGCTAAAAGAGTTAATATTTGTGATGAGCTTAGAATAGTGCCTGGTCCAGAATAAGTACTACATAGTAGTAGAGTTGGTAATGCAAGAACCTAGTGAGTGAACTTCTCTACTGTCAAATTAATTCCTAATCCGTCAATTCTGTGACAAGGGATACATACTTTGATGTGCTAGAGCCAACTTGTACCAGTCTGCAAAAGCCAATTGTTCTCATTTCTTCTCCAAATACTTTATTCAGTGAGTTAAAACCCTTCCCTCTGAACTCTGCATTCAGTGGTAGCTTGAAATTGGTCATGGTATGAGCACCTACACCATGAAGTTGCTAAATGCTGCAAATCGAGGCCTTTTTTTTTTTTTTTTGAGTCAGTTGATAACATTTACCAGCATACTGCTGATATACACGCTTAGTAGAGAGTAATGGGTTATTGGAGTTCTTCCTAGTGGTTCCAAACTGAACTACATTTAGTTCGGTACATTTATTACATTTCATAACTTTTGAAAAAGCTCTAGAAGTTGATCAAAACAGTTTTAAAACCTCTATGTGATCATACAGTAATGCAATTTCTTATTTTTGTCTTTGGAAAGCTGTATCCTATATAAATTGGCTGTTACATTATAACATTATAAAAATGTATTAATTACTTTTATTTAATTATGGTTTACTAAGGTTAAAATACCCATCAATTTTTTAAAAACTCCAAACTTGTTTTGAAATAAAAAATTCCTAAAATCTTAATGTCCTTTCACGATTTCCCTTTGTATAAGAATATTTATCAATGTTATAATTAAACATGTTTTATTATATGTTTTTCTTTTAAATGTTCAAAGTAAAAACAAAATATAAATGTCTTTCAAAATATTATCAAATGGTTTACAAAATCTCTGCCACTTACCTTTTGAAATATCTTCAATTTTTCTGCCATACAAATCATAAAAATATCTGGCTGGTAAATTTAGATTCATTCTCATTGTACAAGTATCTAAAACCTGTGCAAGAAAAAAATTATAAATAATTTAGTAAACTCTGGTTAAACTGAATATACATTTAAACTCCTTTCTATACTACACAGTTATTAAAAATTATATTGTAAAATAAAATTTAATGATTTATAAAATGTTCTAATATATGAAATTTAAAGGCAGTTAAAATTGTTACATCCTAATTGTACTTGTGTGTGTGTGTAAAAAACACACAAGTATCAGTAAAAAAGAAAGAAAGAAGATGCAACAAATATTAAATACTGGTTATCTATTATTTAATAAATGGTAGACCTTTAGAACTCTGAAGGATGTTTGTCTTAGTCTTGCAACTTTCTGTATGTTCCATTTATTTCACAATGAGAGGATATTACCTTTTAAATTAGATTTTAAGTACCTACTTTCCTTAGCTTTTAAATGTTTCCCAAGTGTCCTAAAATAAATTATAAAAATAGTCTGATCACAGTTCACCTTGATAACCTATGTTGTTTGGGTACTAAAAACTGAACTGAATAAATCACATTTCAGGTTTTCCATGAATATGAGTCTCAAGGACTTTACCTTTAATGGTTTCTAATATGCACTCTTTTAAAATATTATAATATCATGACCTGTTCTTGTTATTTTACATGTAGCCCTTTGAACCCAATGTGGCAATCATCTTTCCAACTTCAAGGAAGACTTAAACATGCTTCAGCTGGAAAGAAAGTTCTACTCACAACGTGAGGAAAATCAAGGGAACAGAAGGGGTTTGAGGAGTGTCAGGTAACCTGAGGCAGGTTGTTATTAGGTTTTCAGTAGTAACTTCTAAAACATGAAGTTCACCATATTCATCTAAAAATACAAAATATTTTCCAAATTGAAATTGAAAGGGCTCTGCCATCCATTTTTTACTATTCCCAGCTATAATATTACTTTCCCATAACCAAGAACTACTACTGAAGGACAATGTGAATTATATTAATATGATTATAGTAAACAAAACATCTTTCAACTGCTCAAACCATCTTTCAGCTGCTGATACTACCTGCCTCTTTTTGCTCACTTCTGTCCCTACTTTATTATTGGAGCCCATAATTTAGTCCTAGCTTAACCATTCATTAGCTTTGTGACAATGTACGTATTTCAATAGCTTAGTGTTTATATAGAGGCAAAGTTGAACTTTCCTTTCAGCCTATAGAACAGCTTTCAAACATTGTGACTGATTTGGTTTATACAGTTGCTCTATCAAAAGACAGGTTGAATATTAAAGGTAAATATTTAACTGACAAATCAATTTGACAAATTGGTCTTTCTTAGGGTCTATGTACCAGAGGTTCTCAGCCTTTATTCTACTCTACTCCTATACATAACTAATCATGTCCCCATGGACCACATGCTCCCGTGGCCATTCACAGCATTGCATGTTTCTTGTACACTAGCTGCAATTCAGAGCATTGAGCAATTCAAAGCAATGTATTGCTGCTGTTTTTCTCACAATCAAGAATGCATACCTGCTCATTATTAGGAATAATGTTACAGGTATTTTTTTTTTTTTTTTTTTTTTTTTTTTGAGATGGAGTTTCACTCTGGTCGCCCAGGTTTGAGTGCAGTGGTGCGATCTCAGCTCATCGCAACCTCTGCTTCCCAGGTTCAAGTGATTCTCCTGCCTCAGCCTCCCCAGTAGGTGGGATTACAGGCATGCGCCACCCTGCCCAGCTAATTTTTTGTATTTTTAGTAGAGACGGGGTTTCTCCATGTTGATCAGGCTGGTCTCGAACTTCTGACCTCAAGTGACCCACATGCCTCAACCTCCCAAATTGCTGGGATTAGAGGCATGAGCCACCACCCCCAGGTAGGAATATTCTTGAGCTTTCTAATTTATGAGGAAAAGATCATTCACAACATCAATGCTTTACCTGGTTAAATAACGAAGTGCTTGCAAAGAATGTAACAACCTAGTGATTCTCTAAATAACCCTGGTTATTCTTCCTGCCTTCTTTTTTACTTTTGTGGGTCAGTTTCTTCAGTAACTACTGCCCACAAGTTCATCCAGGATCCCCATCCCATGGACTTCAGTCTTTACCAAAGATGCTGGGAAAGCAATGTTCAAAATATAAGAAAGAAGTATCAGGAAAAGAAACTAGAGTGTTCTTTTGGCTTGAAACAAAAAGAGGAGTGGAACATATTGACTGACACTGGCACGGGATCCATGCTTGTTTTTATTTTAATACTCTAATTAACACAGTTGGTGTCTGACTGGCAAAATTCTCCTGTCACTGGAGTGAAAGTGAAAATGGATCACTTTCACCACCACTCTCAGTGACAGAAATACTCAAGGGAGATAATTCAGCACAAATTGCTCCTTAGCCAATCATGTCTGAACACTATTAAGGATCTACAGTAGGTCTTATAGACCCTAAGCAAGACATAATCTCCTCTTTACAACCCCACATTACTTATCTTTCCAGTCCTCGTGTTCAGTTTTCAATTTCTTAATATTATGAAGCTTAATATTATGAAGTGATTACTGTATTTAAAAGTATAATGATGTCCTTTGGTACAATTTATATTTCCTAGTTACAAGTGAAGGTTCAAATATCTAAGTATCCTTTAAAGTTACAATTTACCAATTAAACTAAGTAAAACTATAATCTACTTGAAGGTAGTCCCATTTACTTCGAGCAAAATTTCAATAATTTTTAAAAATTATTTTAAATATTGCTGCCCTTGAGTCTTAAAAAAATCAGTCCCTCCTTCCCTCCCCTGTAGTTCACAGTGTCTGTTGTTGCCATCTTTATGTCCATGAGTACCCAATGTTTAGATCCCACTTATAAGTGAGAACATGTGGTATCTGGTTTTCTGTTCCTGCATTAATTTGCTTAGGACAATGGGCATCCAGCTGCATCCATGTTTCTGCAAAGGATATACTTTCATTCTTTTTTATGGCTGCATAGTATTCCATGGTGCATATGTACCACATTTTCTTTATACAATCCACTTTTGATGGGCACCTAGGTTGATTCCATATCTTTGCTATTCAGAACAGTGCTGTGATGAATATATGAGTGCATGTGTCATTTTGGCAGAATGATTTTTCTTTTGGATATATATAATCAGTAATGGGATTGCTGGGTCAAATGATAATTCTGAGTTCTTTGGGAAAACTCCATATTGCTTTCCACAGTAGCTGAACTAATTTACATTCCCACCAACAGTGTATAAGCATTCCTTTTCTCCACAGCCTTGCCAGCATCTGTTGTTTTTTTGACTTTTCATAATAGACATTCTGACTGGTTACAACATTTTCTAACTCAAAGACTCCCCTTTTCATTGAGCTAAAACATCAGTAAAAATGTGTATGCAAACCAAACCTTTGTGCGAGTTTTAAGAGTTAAACGAGTTTTAAAACTGGCATTAGAAAATCAAATACTAAAATTTAATAATGCATGAGCAACACTGTCATTCCTTCCTACTTGAAGAATGAAAAATCTTTGCAGTGTTTAAGCATGCCAGCCTTCAGTAATTATTTTCTCAGAGTAAATTATCAGTGGTATGAATTAGTATCACTATAAGTTTCTGTCAAAAGCCCTGAAATGAAGCTTCTACTTATAAGGTCATTCTTATGATTTACAATTGAAAAGTACATTATGGCGTCATCTTGCTCTAATATTAAGGTTAATTAAAATAGCATTTCCACTACTGTACCTGTTAAGCTTGTTAAAATATTACTTTTACAAATTCACATTTTGTTAATTCCTTTTTTTTTTTTTTTTTTTTTTTGAGACAGAGTCTTGCTCTGTCACCCAGGCTGGAGTGCAGTGGCATGATCGCAGCTCATTGCATCCTCAACTTCCCAGGCTCAGGCAATCCTACCACTTCAGCCTTCCAAGCAGCTGGGACAATAGATGTACCACAAGACACTCAGCTAATTTTTTAATTTTTGTAGAGATGGGGCCTAGCTATGTTGCCCAGTCTGGTCTCAAGCCCCCTGGCCTCAAGTGATCCTCCTGCATCAGCCTCCCTAAATGCTGGGATTACAGGCATGAACCACTGCACCTGGCCTGTTAATTACATACAGCTTAAGTTTTAGAAACTCTTCTGATACTAAAATTTTAAATCATCATGCTGTAAAACCAGAATCTTTTTGAAAAGTACCTGGGAAGAAATATTCCACAATCTTTTCAGTTTAATCTACTTGTTTACAGATCTGGAAGTCAACTCCATCTCCAGACATATCTGGTACAGAGTTTGCAGTTCCTGGAATGGCCAGAACCTCTGGGTTGCCACTACCTCAGTTCAGATGAGAGAGTATACTTAGGCCAACATCACCGCAGGTCATGTGAACCAGGTTGATAAGCCAATTAGACCCCAAAAATGTTAGTTCTTCTCAAAGACAGAGAACCTTGAAACATTTTAATACGGTTTTATGAGTTAACCCCTGGAAGCATAAGCCCCAACTTACACTTCCCCAACACACTCTCCTCAAAAGATTCTCTACTGCAGGAGTTATCAAACTACAGTCCAAAGGCCAATTCCAGTCCATAGCTTGTTTCTGTGTGGCCTATCGGCTAAGAATGGCTTGTACATTTTTAATTCTTAAAAAATAAATCAAAAGATGGATCATATTTTGTGATAGATTTAAATATGAAATTCAAATTTAAGTACTGTACATAAAGTTTTCTTGTAAAACAGCCACACTTGATCATTTACATATTTTCTACGGCTGCTTTCATGCTATCACAGCAAGGCTGAGAGAGTTGCTACAGAGACCTTATGGCTTGCAAAACCAAAATTATTTTCTGTTTGCCTTTTATGGAAAAAGTTTTGCATCAACATTTACATGAAGCTCTGTATTTTCCTGTTCTGTATAAATTAGCCTGAACTCCTTTATTCATTTCTAAAACTGTTCCACTGTGTACTCGGAAAACATGTCCTCTGATCAACAAATTTGACCAGCCCCACAACCTCTTTTAAAAGAAACTAGGCTTTCCCCTGAGGTCACTAACTTCTTCAAGGCCCTCTCAAGT